GGAGCACTGGGTGTTATACACAAAGAATGAATCATGGAACACTACATCAAAAACCAATGATGTAATGTATGGTGATTAACATAACAATAAATAAAATTTAAAGGGAAAAAAAAGAAATGCCATTGTTCCTTTTTCTACCATTTCTTCTGTAATCTCTCTGGTGTATCATTAAGGGCTTTTCTGTATAGGGTAGGGAATATTAATTAGAAGAGCATACTGTTTCACTTGCCTCATTACGTAGAGGGAATAATACTCAAAGTGTCACTCCAAATTATAAAAGCTAATATTGCTCGTTGTCCATATTTTTTATCAATAAATCATGTGCTTGCTTCCTAGTATTGTCATTCAGTGGTTGTTCTGTGCTACTCTTGTAGCAGCCTGTAGCTTCTTGAGAGGAAGGACCACCCATGTTCTGCTCCTCTCATAGCTACCAAAACAACTGTTGCCTAGTAGGGACGCAGTCAGTGTTTCTTGCATTAAATTTAATTATGGTGGAGCTATAATAGCAGCACATGGCTAACCTTTCCTCTGATACAAACATGTACGAGGGTTAAATATTAGGGATCCTTGGTGTTCTAACCTCATTCCTTTTCTTAACTCTGCATAATTTCTTTTGGTTTAATCCACTCCCATGGCCCTAACTGCCAAGACGTGGGATAATGGTTTTGAAATCGTGGGATAATGGTTTTGAAATGATCTTTAGTCCCGCAGGTGCTCTGGAGCTTCATATTCATTTTACTTTGTTGTCTTCCAGACACGATGGAAACAATATATCCAGCACCCTCCCTCTGATTATTCCCTCTGATGGTGGACCTTAGCACCATCTGAAGGGCCATCGTTTTTATTCTTCTATTCCTTTCTACACATATTTATACAATAGACCTTTATTGAGCACTGTGTAAATTGCAACACCCAGCAAAAATGCAGCCATCATAAGCTACATTGTTCCTACCTGGAAAAGACTGCAATCAGAGGCCGTAAGGGGTATGTACAAACAGCCCATGCCAGTACATGAAATATAACCTGTTACTGATCATGGCAATTCAGAGTCAGTTACCAACATCCAGTCCTTCTTATATCCTATTTCCTGCAGACGCATAAATCTTAAGTAACCTTCTTTGATAGATTCACATGTATTCCAAACAATGGTTCATTGGCTTACATATAGTCATTACCAAAGTTTCATTTTGTTTGCCTTCATTATCTCTCCCACTTGGTTTTCAGATGGTGGTGGTAAACCTTAACAATGTCAGCATTATTATTATTACTGCTTCCTCTTCAGCGTGCTCTTCATCTGTTCCCCAGTCCTATTAATTTGATCCTTTCTCCTTAATATCCCTTATGTTTGGCCTTACATGCCTAATATCATACCTAAAATATTTAACTGGGTTCTTTCTCTATCTTCATTGTGAACCTGGCTGGGCAATATGAGCCTACACTATTGCCAAAGGAGATTTTTTAAAATTTAATTCCAGTATAGTTATCATACAGTGTTACATTAATTTCAGGTGTACAATATAGTGATTCAAGAATTCCATATATCACCCAGTGCTCATCATGACAAGTGCACTCCTTAATCCCTGTCACCTATTTAACTTATCCCCCCACCCACCTCCCCTCTGGTAACCATCAGTTTGTTCTCTATAGTTAAGAGTCTGTTTCTTGGTTTGTCTCTCTCTCTTTTTCCCCCTTTGCTCATTTGTTTTGTTTCTTAAATTCCACGTACCAGTGAAATCCTATGGTGTCTTTCTCTGACTGACTTATTGCACTTGGCATTATACTAACTCCATCCATGTTGTTGCAAATGGTAAGGTTTTGTTATTTTTTATGGCTTAATAATATTCCTTTATATATATATATATATATATATATATATATAGATATAGATATATATACACCACCTCTTCTTTATCCATTCATTAATCAGTGGACACTTGGGTGGCTTCTATATCTTGGCTATTGTAAATAATGCTGCTATAAACATTGGGGTACATGTATCCCTTTGAATTAGTGTTTTGGTGTTTTTTGTTTTTGTTTTTGTTTTTGTTTTGTTTTGTTTTTGGTAAATAGCCAGTAGTGTGATTATTGGAACACAGGGTAGCTCTATTTTTCGCTTTTTGAGGAACCTCCATACTCTTTTCCATAGTGGCTGCACCAGTTTGGATTCCCACCAACAGTGTAAGAAGGTTCCTTCTTCTCCACATCATCCTCAACACCTGTTGTCTCCTGTGTTGTTGATTTTAGCCATTCTGACAGGTGTCAGGTGATATCTCATTGTAGTTTTGATTTGCATTTCCCTGATGAGTGGATGTTGAGCATCTTTTCATGTGTCTGTTGGCCACCTGTATGTCTTCTTTGGAGACGTGTCTGTTCATGTCTTTAGCCCATTTTTAATTGGACTATTTGTTTCTGGGGTGTTGAGTTCTGTAAGTTCTTTATATATTTTGGATACTCTTCATTGGATATGCCATTTGCAAATATCTCCTCCCATTCCATAAGTTGCCTTTTAGTTTTGTTGATTGTTTCCTTTGCTGTGCAGAAAATACATTTTTTTTTACTACTAACTTTCCAGAGATATAGGGCTAATATGGTAAAAGGACTCATCTGAATTCAACATTTTTAAAAGATAGATACTATCCTCTTTTGTCTTTGCCCAACAGCTTCTTGGAGAAGATAAAATGATTCACACATTTTCAATGGGGACAAATTTGGATCATAATTTAGTAAACATAAGGAAAGTCAATTATATGTATAGGTGTTGAAGGTATGATTTTGGCATACAGAAAAGCTTCCCCACCCCTGCTCCCATCCAGGTAGCTCACAGATGCCTTCTGCACTGTCTATAATTCCTTTCATTGGCTACTATTATGGACTCATCTTCAGGGGCATACTGGAGAAGGTTAATACATTTAGGCACTAATGCCTGAAGGAAAGGTGCATAGCCAAGTTGGCACTGACCTGAGTGCCTAGGTCAGGGCATGCAAGTGTGGATCCAAGTAGAGAGCATTTCTTTTCAGGACTAGCATGAGGGCTCAGTAAACAAACATCATCTCGTTTATGATAAAGGCAGGCTCTAAAACTGCATGAGTAAAGATGAGATCCTTTGACAAATAGCTCTTTCAAGACCCTTCTTAAATGTTTTTCCTAAAAAGTCAACCCTTGGGGCTCTCAGTGGTGCAGATCATATACCTGATACGATGGAGAGATGACTGAGGTGTAAATGTATAGGCATATTCTGAGGACCCAAAATAAAGCTTTCCAAAGCACCCCCAGATCAGTGATTCTTAGATAGGGACCAAGACTGGGGTGGTGTGGAGCACAGGGGGAAGTTGGGGGAAGCCACGTGCATGCCACCCCACCATCCTGAGAATCACTGTCTATAATGGAGGTGCAGTTTGTGGTAGTGAGGTGTACGTGAAAAGAAAACGAAGACTAGGGAACATGGCTGAGAACTTGATCTAGATTAAAGTCCATTTGCTTTATTTACAGAGAAGGAATCAGGTCCCACTGTATTACAGAACTGGCTTTTCCTACCACACAAGGCATCCCTCCAGACCTCATTTTATACCCCAAGATTTCTACATTACAAAGTGCTTTTTGGCATACAAGGTCCATCTTTTTTTTTTTTTCTTTTCCAAAAGTAACTAAGAGTCTTCTGTTGGGTTTCCTGACAGACCCACTGTATGATGAGAAAAGAAAATAAATGTGAACAATGAAGAATAAGTAGGAGTATTTCTCAAAGAGATGTGCAAATATTGAGCAGTTATATTGTACTGGAATAATTTAATGCAGTTTGGTAACATTGTCTTAAATAGTATACATTTCCTTAGACCATGGGATTCAGAGTTGACTCTCAAGGCTTGTAATTTTTCTAGGAACAAGATGAGATCATTCAATGTAATTGTGGGAGAAAGTACTGTATATTTTATAGAAAGCTTAGGAATTAGGGGCACCTGGGTGGCTCAGTCGTTAAGCCTCTGCCTTCGGCTCAGGTCATGATCCCAGGGTCCTGGGATCGAGCCCCACATCGGGCTCCCTGCTCTGTGGGAAGCCTGCTTCTCCCTCTCCCACTCCCCCTGCTTGTGTTCCCTCTCTCACCATGTCTCTCTCTGTCAGATATCAAAATAAAATCTTTGAAAAAAAAAAAAGGAAAGCTTAGGAATTAATTCAGAAACACCCCTTATATTTCTGGCATTGTCCACATAGTCCCAGTTCTTTCTAATCCCTTCTTCTCCGGGTAATTTATGCATGGGTCAAGAGGTCAACCTGGGCTGTCGCTGGTTCAATATTTGTATTTTGCAAAATGACGTTTAGTATTTGTGTTTTTCCGAATAGAGCCTGTGTTCCCTTCAGAGACTCATGCAAAGTGCTTCATCGCGTGAAGGACCTCGCTATTTGATTTCACTCGACGGCTTTTCATTTACGTTACACACTGACAAAGTCATGAGCCAAAACTGTCACTCTCTGAGGGTAGAAACTGCCATGCTTCACAAAGGCAAGAAGTAATTTTCCTGTAATCACAAGATGACTCAGGTTAGTACCTTTTAGCTCTTACTGCAATTCAAATAACATGAGGATTTTGGGGCGCTGGGCAAACCTCATTAGTCCCCATCGCTATAATTTTAAATTTATGATAATGTGATATAAAGTAAGTTGGAGTTTATTTTTGTACAAGGTGGTAAAAAGAATTTGAAAATAGTTGTAGAGGGTGAGTGAAAATTCCAAGAATGTACTTAGTATTTTTTAGGGAACAAAATGCTTTTCTAGGAAAGAGCATTGTTAAATGATAACTGTTATCCTACAAAAGTTTGCAGTATCATCTGGACTTGAAATATGTAGATGTTAAGTTTGAAGGATCGTGGATTAAAAGGCAAAAAATCCCAAAACCTAGGTATTTTATAATTAAGTCTTTGAACTATCATGACCAACTTGTATCGTTATGTTAGAATTGCAATTTGAGCAGGTCTTTAAAATTTAAAGCAGAGTTTTATGTTCTCTTTTTTAATATTGTGTCTTCTGTGGCATTTATAATGGGAGAACCGTTTGCAATGCTTATATTTACTTTTAGTTACAAAAACGTGACTTCTGCATGCCTAGGGTCCATGCGTGAAACAGCCTCTGCCGGGGCAGAAAGTCATGAAATAGGAAACACAACTGGGAAAAAGCTCGGTCCTAGCCCTGCTTCCTGTTGGTCCCCAGCAGGGCCTTTATGATTTCTGACCAAAGACTTGAGGACCGGTTTGTCTGGAGTAAAGTACTGTTGTCCTGCGGAAGGAGCTAAGGAAAGGGCTCACTGATGCCCTGGTTCTGGTTAAATATTGAGTGACTGCCCTGTGTTCAGCACTGTCCTAAGACAAAGGAAGGTCCTAGTCCAGTTCCTGCTTCCAGGGACTTCTAGTCTCATTAGGCACATACACAAAGTTGAGAATTCAAGATGGGATCAGGAGAAATGTCCCAGGAGTGATAGAGATAATACATATGCTGGATACAGAAAGAGTGGGAAGGCTGGTTTACATCTGTGGCTCTCCGTGAAGTCTTTATGGAGGAGGACAAAGCTTGCTGGACTTCGAAGGCCAGGTGAGATTTTGGAAGGGGAAGGTGATAGAGCATTTCAGGTGACAGAGGACAGTCTGTTGGCTTTAGTGAAGCCCTGAATGAGGAGCTGTACGAGTCCCGCGCAGGGAAGGGTGAGGAGAGGTCTTCAGGTGGAAGCTGAGAATTTGAGATATGGTGGCTCCAAGATAGAAGTCTGGGAAGACAGGCTGGGACCAGGTTGTGGAGGGCTTTGAATGCCAGACCGAGGAGTACAAGCTTCTTCCTGCAGAGAATAGAGACCCCTGAAGGGCTTTCAACCCTATTAAATGGCCCTTATCCATTATCTGGAAAATTATCCAGAATTGACATGAAACAGAGATTCTAAATTGCTTTTCTTGGGTTCATGGAGGGAAAACGACAAGCTGCAGCCATCAAGCCGGGAGTAACACGTATACTGTGTGGTCCCTGCAAGCCACTTTTTACCATGGAAACGTTCAGTGTCTCCAGCAAGTCATGATTAAAGGAGGGGTGGGGCAAACTCCCAGCCTTGTGGATATGAGATGTGGGGGGTGGGAGGAAGGCAAGGAGGACAGAGAGACCGGAAGGCTGCAGAAGCAGCTCCGATACTAGGTTGTGGCAGTGCAAAAGGAAAGGCGGAGAGACAGCAGAGATGGCAGTGGTAGTACCACAGCTCTGATCTCTTAGGCTAGCGCTGGGTCCCACATGATGCTGCCATCCCAGCATGCTCTAGTACCACTGGGCTCCAACAAGGGTCCTTTCGTCGTCTATTTGTGGCAAGTCCTCTTGGGGAACTGTGGCAGCCACAGCGCGACTTGTCCACTGTGGCACCCCCCGAGGTGAGTGCCGTGGTTGCGAAGACCCATCCAAGTCTGTAATAAAGTCCGTGGGCAGCAAACGTCAAAACAAACTCTTCGTCGGGCATGAAGGACGGAGTTGTTGGGAGTGTACTAAGTCGCTGACAGAAGAGCTACACACCAAACCTCAGGAAAGGCAACACTTGGAAGAAACCTGAGGATCTTTCCTTTAGGGTCGTGCCATTAGTGACTGCGTTCCAACTACCTCTTACCAGTTTCCCAGGGGAGAGAGACTGTCCTAGATTGGATCACGTGTCCACCCCTTGGCCTATGTGACTGGCAGGCCCCGGCGTCACTTGGAGTCTGAGACAGGGGCAGTTCCTCAAAGGAAGATCAGATAAGCAGAAATTTTAAAAAAGTATTTAATCTCTGGGGCGCTTGGGTGGCTCAGTCAGTTAAGCATTTGACTCATGATTTCAGCTCAGGTCATGATGTCAAGGACCTGGAATCAAGCCCCATGTGGGACTTCATGCTGAGTAGGGAGTCTGCTTGGGATTCTCTCTTCCCTGCCCCCCCCCCCACGCACACGCTCTCTCACAAATAAATAAATAGTATTTAATTTCTAAAATGTCTGGGAATATAGATAATGGTCATAAAGTGTATGGCCTCAGGCTTGGGGAGAGATCAGATATTTTGCAGAATCTCAGGTTTCCCAAATAATTTTTTCACAACTACCTTTGGCAGACCCTCTGCTCTTTCAAACTAAAGTCTTATGGTTTAAGACAAACAAACAGATATGAACCAGAAATTACCCCCAGCAAATACCTTCATGCCTTCATGCTTTGGGGTCCACACATTAGTGTCTTTTCTCCCTCCCTCTCTCCTTCCCTTCGTTTTGTAGCAGTCAGATCTTCAAACACATCGGGAGACCTGAAGTGATTTATTTGATTTCTATGCCTTATCTGTGATAGAATTTCCAAGTTTGCTACTCTCCCTGAAAGGCAGGTTAATAGGGCTTAAAAAAAATTTATTTGAGAGAGAGAGAGAGAGAGAGCACGAGCACAAGCAGGAGGGCAGAGAGAGAGAATCTCAAGCAGACTCTGCACTGAGCGCAGAGCCCAATGTGGGACTTGATCTCATGACCCTGAGATCACAACCTGAGCCAAAACCAAGAGTTGGTTGCTTAACCAACTGTGCCACCCAGGTGCCCCCAAAGGGCTTTAAGAAACACACTGGCTTGCCCAGCTTTCGTCAGTCTTTGAATAGATACTTCTTATAAATGCAATTTAATTGAGTTCTAAGGTGATGATCCCAATTTCTCATGCATTCATTTGGAGATGTGTTATCTTACATACAAGCAGGGCTCACAATTTCCTTTTTAACAATTTCCAATCACACTGGAAATGAACATAATACATTAAACTCCAGCATACTACAATTCTAGACTTCTAGAGCAAGAGCTTTTAAGCTTTTTGGCATTATTTTGAATTTTAATTTTTTAATACAAAGGTTCAAGCGAATCTCTCTTGTAGTTACAAGTTGTCCCACTCTGATTTCCATTAATGATTAATATTAATACATTCTATGAACAATATCAGAATGTAAATATCTAGTTCTGAGCCCTAATTGGAATAGATACAAAATTAATAAAAACATACAATTATATATTTTATCTCTTCTTTATTTTTATCCCTATGAAATTGGAACTCTTAGATCTTTATCTACTTTTCCCACTTCCCGTGTCTTGCTTCTTTTGCATTAACATATAAGAAGCACATGATAATCATTCAATATATATTTGTTTTCCTTTTTCTTCTCCTTCTTTTCTCTTCCCCTAGTGCCTTTCCCCTTTTCTTTATCATTCCATTTTGCACCTTTAAAAAGAAAAACTGTAGGGACACCTGGGTGGCTCAGTCGGTTAAGCATCTGACTCTTGATTTCAGCTCAGGTCATGATCACAGGGTCATGGGATTGAGCCCCCAGCGTCAGGCTCCATGCTCAGCGTGGAGTCTGCTTGTCCCTTTCCCTCTGCTCTTCCCCTTGCTGTCTCTCTCTCTCTCAAATAATTAAATAAAATATTGAAAAGAAAAGAAAAACCATATTGGCACATATTTTTGGCTCCTTCTTTGTTTTTTGGGGAGCCCTGTTTCTTCTATTACATCCGTGTTGTTCAAGTGATTAACTGCCCTCCTATCAATTAGGCTCCAAATTGCTGTTTCCTTGGTTCTATGGCTTATAAATATTGTGAAATCGTTCCGAAAGATTTTATTCTCCCATAAGCTCAGCAGGTTTTTCCAGTAAGTGCTCTTGCAGAGAGCCATATAAACAGCTGGCTAAACATTCCAGCTGACCAACATAGCAGTAATAAATCAGGAAATTTCAGTTTGTCCGATCATTTCTAACAAGGCACTGAAGTGTCTGAGAATTGTCTTAATGAGTAACAGTAACAATAGAACAACAAGGTAGTGAGAGAATGATGGTAAGTAAGAATTGGACCCACATGCTGTTAGAAAGCTAAGGATAAGGCAGCATCTCTCCTGGATTCTTTACATAATTTCTGTTCCCATCCATTTACTGAGATCCATAATCCTCATATATCATTGTAGCTCTGCTACTTGGAGGCTGGAGCTAACATAATTCATCCTTAATTTCACATTGAATATTTAGGTAAAGCTATTCAGTATTTAGTAAACACATGAATCTAGGGTTGGTAAAGTGAGTTTCTTTTCTTGTAGCAGACCAATTAGACACTGCCCTGATAGGACATCTTTACTGAGAGCAAATGGACTTTATTCTTCACTGGTTACTGGATAATCTGGCATGAGACATTATCTTATTTAAATTAATAAGAAATCCTCAGTTAATTTCCCTAGACCATGTCCTTAAGGGTTATTTGTGAATCAGAATTGTTAAATGTGTGGTTGTTGAAGTCACAGTGGTTGGGTCCACGTCCCAAGCATTGGGTTTATCTCTATTTGTTCAGGTCATTTTTATGTTCTTTAAAGTCTTACAGTTTTATTCCAAGGAAAAGAGGAGAGGAAATCCTCAGTTAAATTTCATCTGAGCTAAGAACTCTCTCAACAGTTTCTGTATATATTATTACATAATCTAATTTCATGGGACTATTGCATCAACATGGTACCCTAACTCATCTTTGACCCTAGTGATCTCCAGTTTCTAGGT